TTTTACTTTCCTCTTGTCCCACTATCATGTTCGGCCTTCATTTGGGATTCAATAATTCCTCGTGTCAAGAGCTCTTATCTATACCAGCCCACTTTAATTTTTGACTGCTGCTTCCATAGACATTGATTATGGATCCAAGTAAAATGAAATCTTTAGCAACTTCATTATTTTCTCTGTTTATCATGATTTTCCTTACTGGCCTAATTGTGAGCAGTTTTGTAATCTATGGAAAGCTCAGTTAAGACATTGAGTGGAATTACAGTTAATTTATAGGCTAATTTCAAGAGAATTAGCATCTTTCTGATAGTGGGTCTTCTACCCATGATCATGTTATATCTCTCAGGCTAATTTTAATTACTTCAAGAGTTTATCATCTTCTCCATACATTTTATCAGATTTATTCCTTTAAAAAATTCATTCCTAGATGCTTTAGTTTTTTCGTTTCTGAGATTCCATTTTTTACTTACCACATAGGCAAAGCGCAAAAAGGTTAATAACACTGTATGCTAGTAAGTTTACAGGAAAACAGGAACTCCTGTACTTTCTCAGTGCAGGTGTAAATTAGTTCAACCTCTTTGGAGTACAGTGCGCAATAACACTTAATTTTCTTGTTATAATTTGGCCCATCAATTCTACTTCCAGGAATTACTTGTCAAGGTATATAAAATATTAGGTGTATTTCAGGAGGCATTATTATAATAGCAAAAGATTGACATTAACTTAAAGGTACATTAGTAGAAGATTCATTAAATCAATCATTGAATAGTTGATCTATTAGTTGAAATACTATGCAGGCACAAAATAGATAACTTTATAAATAATTCCATGAGACAATGTTTATGATTATGGGGAGCTTATTTTTTTCAATATTGCCACCATAATATATTCTATCTCATACACCATTCTTCAAATGTGATGTTGACTTGCTTCTCTTTAGAGAGGTGGGTCTATAATCTCTTCTCTTAAATGAGATGCTTGTACATCTTTGTGATCACCTCAATTAACAGAGTATACCTGGCCTAGTGGTTACAAGTTGGGCTACGATCTGCAAGCTCATTAGTTCAAAACCACCAGCCACTCCGAGGGAGAAAGACAATGGGGCTTTCTACTCCTGTAAAGAGTTAACAGTTTCAGAAACTCACAGAAGCAATTGTACCCTGTCCTATGGGGTCATTCAGAGTCCCCATTGACTGGACGGTGGTAAGTTTGAGTTTTGATCCATTTCCTTTGAGTAGATTCTGACTCATATTGACCTTATGGAACGGAATAGATCCACCCTAGGTGTGCAGGGATGTAAGTCTTTATGGAAGCAGACTGCTACATCTTTCTCTCATTGAGCCGCTGGTGGGTTTGGACCTCTGGTTAGTAGCTGAGCTCTTAACCGCTTTGCCCCAGGGCAAAGTACAGCAGAAGGACATCTATGTAAAATTTGAGGCCTGTCACAAAATATCATACACTTCCCCCTTACTCTCTTGTGATGCTTACTTTTGGAGATTAGCTATCATGCTAAGCACCAGTGAGACAAGCAGACACATGGAAAGGTCACACATAAGGTGTTTCAGCTGTCAATCCCCTCCGAGGTCCCAGCCAACAGCCAGACATGAGAGCGAGCAAGCGTCTAATGATTCCAGTGCTCAGGAATTGAGTCAACCTCCATCTTTCAGATGCCTTTGCTGATAACACACGGAAGAGAGATGAGCCATCTCCAGCTTGCTCTGCACAAACTGCAGATCCATGAGCAAAAGAAATGGTTGTTGATTTAGGCCCCAAGACTGGGGTGCTTTGTTTTGTAGCAATGCAAGAGGGTACCTTAAAAGAAATGGAACATTTTTTTCTTCCCCTTTTTTTTCAAAGCATAGAATTAAAAAAAATATATATATTTTTAACAAAACAACCTTAGCACCTTCAAAGTACTCTCCATTATACTTATTTCATCTGTCAAATGCGATCCCATTCTTGGAAACAGTTTTCAAACTCATCTGTTTGGATGACTGACAGCACCTCCCTTATTTTTTTATTCACCTTTTCTATGTTGTCAAATCGCTGTCCTTTCATGTCCCTCTTCATTCGCAGAAACAAAAAGAAGTTGCATGGAGCGAGGTCAGGTGAGTCAGGTGTGTGGGACAAAAGAGGCATGTTGGTTTTTTTGCCCAAAACTGGTGCACTGAGCAGGTGTATTGTCGTGATGGCAAAACCAGTCCCCTGCCTGCCACAAATCAGGCCTTTTTGTCACACACTCTTACACAATCTTTTCAGAACCTCTAAACAGAGAGCTTGATTAACAGTCTGACCTGGTAGAATGAACTCCAAATGCACTATCCCCCTCATAAAAAAACACAAATGGTCATCATTTTGGGAGGAGTGGTACCCCCTTATAGATATATTATTAAATGCAAAAGGCAAAGTGCAGAACATGTGTGTGCTGTGGTATGTTTAGTAAGAATACACATAGGTATATGCTTGCAGATGCTTAGGCTATTTCTGGAAACATATTCTAAAGTCACTTTTTTGGAAGAGATTACTTCTAAAGCTGGTAGCAGAGACAAAAACAAGAATTACTTTCAGAACTAGGAGACATGGGGTATTTAGAGAGGTTTAAATACAGGAATGTACATATGTAAATATATTTATATAGGATGGTAGGGAAATAGATCTACGAGCATATATTTATAGATTTAGTATTAAGGCAGCAGATGGACATTGGGCCTCCACTCAAGTACTTATTCAATGCTAGAATACTTTGTTCTCTTAAATTGGCATTCCATGATGCACACCTTCCTGACACAATCGCTGAAGACAAATGGGTACATAAGTAAATGTGGTGAAGAAAGCTAATGGTGCCCGGCTATCAAAAGATATAGCATCTAGGAAATGGGTGCATAAGCAAATGTGGCGAAGAAAACTGATGGTGCCC